ATAGGATATTTAGTTTAATTTTTTAAAACATAATTATAATGGTGAATTAACTTTCTTAAATTGTATGATATATTTTTTTATACATATGAAAATGGAGGAACTATTATACTAGCCTTTTCATCACGATAGTTGAGACCTTTATGAACGGAAAAGATAAATGCCCTACTTATTTCACCACAAAACTTTTTGGAAAAGATTCAAACACCACGGTTCAGTGAAACTGAAGTTGAATGACATAATCTTCTATTATCAGCGAGAGGTCTTAGCTAAAGCAGGTCTTCCTTTTGGAGTATCATCTCTTATCTTCAACCATTTTTAATCAAATTACTCACACATATACATGGTTATATTAGTTAAACTTCCCAAGTAATGAATGACAATGTTAGTTGGGATAAGACTGAAAGTGACATGACTGGTTATGGGACAAGAGAGCTGCGGCTTCTGGCGCGAAACACCACTGAGAAATCTCCGTATTTGATTCCAGTACATGTATGTCCATCTATATAAGCAGAGTAGTGGGGCAATAAAAACCCAATCAAGTTATTGAACTGGTTGAAGCAGTAGTAGCAAATGAGGATGCTACTGTGCTTTGATCTGCAGGGTTAACTTAAACCTGCCTATTGATCTGCTAGGGATGACAGATAAAAATGAGAGAGTCTCATACAGAAGTAATGATAGAAACGAAGATATTGTATTTAGGGATCCAGGTGTCTCAAATCAAAACAATTATTTCGCTTTCACTATCACATCCTATAATTCCTAGCCGCAAAGCTGCTAATTGAGCTAAAAAGCTGCATCATATATTTACTCGCCTGTTGTTTTAACTCTAACTGGATCGCCCTCTCTCCCAGTAAAATAATATAGCAAAAGATTTTAAATGGACGTTCAAGAAACATGGGGAATATTCGTTTAAAACAGAAGCACTTTTGGTGATTGATGAGATGGCAGCTAAATGTGTGGGAATTTGCACTTTTTGGTTGCTTTCGGCATTATCCCGGGCTTGTGATTTTATTGCGGAAAAAATGAGAACCATTTATATTATATATCAGGGATTCGCGAAGGCATCATTAAGAAAAAGAAGCAATTCTAATACAATCATAAGCTTTTTGATCCAACTTGAATGCCATCTACTTTCCTGTATGAATTCGAAAAGGCATGTCAAAATGAGGGGCACAATGACCCAGATGAGATAAACAGATTCTCTGGGAACTTCATCCTCTGAACCTCTGAGACTCGATGAGAATAAACGATGCTTGTATGAGTGTATGAACCAGCTTATGATCTCAGGACGTGGCTCCTGAAGTCCCCCCCCCCCCCCCCCCTCCTTGCTTGCTCGTATTTATTTAGAATTTGACAACTAGCATCAATGTATTTTAAGGTTGGCTCTTCATGTGACGTGACATTCTCACACTCCCAACACTTTCTTTGATGCTCGCCAGACCAGAAACTGATACCCTTCCCTGTTTTTCTTTCTTGGGTCCCACAAATGTATATCTCACTTTCACTCTTTTTGCTGCATCCAGCAATTGCTCATTTATTATCTTCCCTTGCTATTCAAAGTACTCGAACCTATAGATATTGGTAGAAAGATTAATACTCAAAATCATAATTAAATTCTGATCAGAATCAGATTAATTATAGATAAAATATTTTATTAAATCAATTAAAATATTGATTTAACGGTTGAGCGAATTTTAATAGTACTGCGCGCCTCCTGAATTTAAAAACATAAATTTTGACAAGACTCTAATTTGATAATAATTTTTTATCAGGTTTTTAGTTGTAATCTTCTTTAATATTTACTCGGCGATGACATATCTTCAGTACCCATCGTCTTCCACATTCGTGCCAAAATTCGTGTGCTTTTAAAGTTTAAAGCCCATTTCTCGGCTCACAACGTATAGAAACCCCAAAAAACAAACCGAATTGAGCATTCTTACTTCTTTTTCTATCGAGTTTTCTTGACCACTTCTACTGCCCCTCGTTCCGCATCCTGGAATCTGCTCGCTTTTCAGGCACAGACACCTTCTCAGTTCTCACACAGTCACATGTCCGCGCAAGTGACCCAGCTACAGCAAGCCTACACAACACCCACGGGTCACGAATCGGTCGGACCCGTTATTGCGGTTCTTGCGGTCATCACCGTTCTGGGAGTCATGGCCGGGATGATCGGCAGGCTCTGTTCGGGTCGTCGGGTCATTGGCCATGCCCGCTACGACTTCGAGAGCTGGTTCGAGACCAAATGCTCCTCCTGCATCGACGGCGGGATTGCCCCTCCTCCGCCGCCGCCCCGGGCAAAGAGATGCCGTTGGAGACGGTGGCTCGCCGAGATCAAAGAAGAACAAGGAGTAGGAGGAGAGAAACTCGGGGCAGAGCTCGCCGTCCACGGTAATTAGTTAATCTTTTTAGCGAAGGAAATAGTAATTTATATAACATCATTCATTAACAAGGGAAGGAATGCCTGGCATTGTCAAGGTTACTTTTGAGTTCATTTCCGTTCACACATTGTGTTGTGGAGCA